ATTTTAATTTAGAAAAAAAAAAAAACTTTTAATAAATCTATTCTTATCAGAATTATATATAGCATCCATGAGTTAAATTCATTATAAGTGTATTATTCAAGTGTTTATCATTTTAAATTCGACTTTTTTTTTTTGTATGCATAATATATTGTTTGAATTTATTTGTTATACAGCAGCATAAAAGAGTGTATAATATGCTGAATGCGTCATTTAGCATTTTCAAAAATTGATTCCATATCGCAATCTAATTGTTATATTTGTCGAATGTTTGATCGTATATCATGCTATTAACATGGGGAGTATTACCTTTCAAAATTAGATATTTAGAAAAGACTTTTTCCCTTTTAGAATTTGCTTTATTGAAATGCTAATGTGGAATTTTATCTTCAATCTCAATTTAAGAAATAAGTAAGTAATTTTTTTTTGTTTTTCGTTTTTTTTTTTTTTTTTTTGTAATATATCACATCTTATTAAAACTCTACGTTTTCCACCTTATTTTCTTATTTCCTTCTATATTTTTAGTAAATTATACAATCATTATTACTGATAGATGTTTGAAGTTTCATTTCATTTTATTTCAGTTTAATATCGCTAAGATAGTTTCGTTCATACTTTGATATTTTCATCCAGTGAATTTGATAGAGTAAGATCATGGGTATATTTTTGTTCTTTTTCCTGAAAACGATAAACGATGTTTTCGATTTTAAAATCTTTTCATATAGTAATTGAACTGATAATATTACCGATATTATTTTTGATATAAAAGTGTAATTTTCACCTTCTTACGTAAAACTTTTTTTTTTCATTAAAAAAATGTTTTTATTTCAAACGGTTAAAGAAAACACATCACATTATTAATTTGTTTATGTTTTAGAATTATTGTTGAGTTATTTGATCTCTTAATTTAAGAAATTTCGTGCATTTATCAGTTTTCTTGTCAAAATTTTTTTTTTGATTTTTTTTTCAGTTTTTCTAATTTTTTGTTTTTACTTCATCGTTATAAATAACTTTTTAACCATTTTTATATCTTAAAATTTGTTCCATGCATTGTCAAATGCATGACATTTAAGTTGTAAATTTGCAATATCTATTTTTCTTTTTTTTTCAGGAAAAAAAAAACATTCGTTTCATTTCGATTTGTGCATTAGTTTTGACCATCTGTGCTAGCGAGAATATCGTTCATCGAGTAAAATGGCATCAAAATCGTCATCACAAGAACCGATTCATAGTGGTCATTTCATGACTTCCAATCCTCATAGTGATGAATTACTACCCGATGAGGAAGTTGTTGGGGTTAGTTGTTTTTATTTTTACTTTTGTAATGATGTAGAAAATACCAAGTTCTGGTTAATATTAGTCTAATAATTTTATCTCAGTTTATATACTAACTTGGTGATAAGACTAATAACGAAAGTGAAAATAATGAGTGTAATAATCACATTAAGAAGAAGGTTGGAGCCTTCATACAATTACTGTTAATTTAGCATCACCATAACAACTTTATATTGTTTTCACTTTGATTAATAGTTATATTAGGAGTGGAAGTAGTTTTCCGTATTATCACATAATTAGAACAATATCAGATGACTGATTAGAGTACTGCGGTAACTAATTTTTTGACCTTACTTATCTTTTTTATGTGAATCTGAAATGTTCTTCGGCTATAAATATGCTTTCTCATTGAATTGTTCTTTAACTTCTTTTTTAAAAGCTTTTTAAAACAACTTTTTGAACTTTTCTACTTTTTCTACGAAACTTTTTAACAAATTTTCGCTGTCAATCAGTATCCTGTCTTTAAAGAAAGGGAAAAAATGTGAATTTTCAAATAAAGTGGGGAAAGGAACAAGAAATTTCGAATATATGATTTCATCAGGTGTATTATGTTTTTTTTTATTCAGTTCATTTCATTAAATTATGTAAATAATACGTAATCAAACTAATTCGAGTGATATTAGAGCAATTCGAAATTTATCTGTTTCTTTTTTTTTTTTGTTATCCGGTATAAGCAAAATTTCTGGTGCAGGGTAGAAGACGATAAACGAAGGATTTGGATCGTATTTTTAATGTGTAATTAATGTATACTTTTTTTTAGGTTGTAGTTGAGGATGATGTAGTTGAGCTAATGCAAGATGCTGAACAGAAGGATCAAGATTTACGCGATTTAAATGTTCAAGTAGGTTTTCTTATCCATATATTATTTTTACTTGGTAAATTTTCCGAACTTTCTGCGATTTTCTCTAATAAACAATTTATTTTTGGTACATATCGCTACCATCGCTATTATTAAAACGGATCAGGAGAATTTTCGGTCCATTAATGGTTTCTATAGTATTACCCTGGAAACCGTTGTGGAGCAAATGCTTTCTTATCAATTTTATTTTTTCGTTTCGTATCGAAATAAAGCAGAAAATTTCTTTTCATCAATCAATGTGCACATTCTTTTGTAAGAGATGAAGTAATTTTTTATACTAATAAGCGTTTGTTTGATGTGGATGCTTGATACCTGTAGTTTGTCTTCTGTAAAGTGGCAGACTAAAATAAATGGTTGAACAGCTGACATCATGCGATTTTTCTGATAGACTAAAATGTGAATTCAAAACTATCCTTTTTTGGTATCCTATTCTGTAATATATCCCTATTAGTTTTTTTTTTTTTTTTCATATTTGAGGCAGCAAATGTAGGATATTACGTAAAGCAGCAGTCATTTTTTTCTTGGAGAAGAAAATGTTGTAATCATGCTAATTAATGGTTGCTTGAAATTTTGATTTAAGATATATCTAAAGCTTTTTGCATCCTTGTGCAGTATAAAGTTTTCTTCAGTTAAGTTTTCAGTTGACCAGAAGATTATGCAAATCGTGTGATAAGTGATGTGTGTTTCAATGTAGTTTCAAAAATAACCACAAATAATAATTTGAATTATATCTAAAGTGTCCTAAAATGATTTTTTTTTAATAAAAATGATTAAAATTTTGTGATTTATATCATTTATTGAATTATTTTATTCCTTTCTTATATTTGAAAAGCGAAAATTATTATAATTATTTTAGGATGAAAAACCGGTTACTTTTTACAAATTTGGTCCAAAAAGGACGCAATCAATAGCAATCGATGTGTCTTTGAATAAATTGAATAAATGCATCAAAGTGGCTTATAAGTTAGCTTTTTTCTTTCTTTTAAATCCTTTATCATTTATTTCTTGTTAATAGAAAGATTTAAGAGTGCATGCTACGTTTGCATGATGTGTCTCGATCGTTCTGTTATGTGTTGAGAACATATGATTGGTTTTCGCATTTGTACCGTACTATCGTTTTTTTCTTTTTAATAAAGTATGCTTTTAAAACTGATCAATGGGTATACTGTAAGAAATTTTTGTATGATTTGTAGTTATGTTGTAAGTCTTCCACTCTAATCAGCTATGATTACAGACATTAAATCTAGGTGAGAACAGTTAGTTGAAAGGTTAAAGATTATGGAATTAAGGTTTTATAAGCATATATTTATGAAGAAGTTGTCTAATCTAAGTCGGTAATGATAATGATTTCACTAGTCGTTAATTTATCGCATCAAATCGTTAGTCATTAATCGGTGCATCATCAAGTCGCTAGTCATTAATCAGTAAGATCATGGTGATTAATCATCATCAAGTCGGTGTTTCACTGATTAGTGTGATCAAACTATAAACATTTAAGCATCAGTATCTCATAAAGAAACATTGCTTTTGCAGTATGTATTCATTATAGTTTAAGAAATGTTAGCCAAAAATATTTTCTATTGTCCAGAATAAGCCTAGCTTTTGTTGCTCTGAATGAATTGCGCTTCTTGTTTGGTAGAACAAACGAACAGTTTTGCTGTTGTCATAATTTTCTACTCTTCGACAATAAAATTTAAGTGTAGCAATTATTTTTCTTTTTTTCCATATTTAGCTATAGGAAAATTCTTTTATTTTTCCCTTAACACTACACAAACATATTTTACATGCAGTTTTTATAAATCAGTTAAGTTGACAATCTTCTAAATTTAGGTATGATGAATTACATTTCACGATGTTTCCTTTTCAGGTATTCTTGTAAGGGTGTTATAATTTTTGCATACTCTAAGAAATGTAATGTTGAATAATAGGTAGAATAATGATATTTATGTAAGGTTTGTTTTCAATTTTAGCTCTGTTTTATAAGGAAGAAAAAAAGGAAGGACGAATGATGATGTTCAAAAAATTAATCCTTCTCATTCTGTCGCAATTTTGTTAGAAAATATGACCTGTGTGTATGCTATCTCGATATAGGATTGACAACGATTGGGTAATGTCGAAGCTTCTAGCGAAGAATATTTGCCAGCAGTTGGCTTCAAACAAGCTGAGGGTAGAGTGGATGTGATCAAGTGATTCTAGAACTGATGTGAATTTTGGGCGGAACAAGTTCGATAAATATGATGTTTTCCGAAGAAGTTCTGTTTCTCGAAATGATACCGTAATAGATTTGTAGTTGTTTCCGGTATGCAATGTTGCCATCATCGTAAAAATATAATCAAATGTATTAAATAGCTGATTAATTTTATTTGATTACAGTAAAATGACGACACCAAAATGGAAAAATTTCAAAGGATTACGATTACACTGGAAGCAACGAATACGTTTAAACAATGTCATCTGGCGAGCCTACTATATGGAATGTATGTTTGTCATCTATTATTATCAATTAATATTTCGTTAGATATTTCAAATTATGCAAATAAGCATATTATGGATATCATTTGTCTATTTGCTGAATAGTGATACAGCAATGAGTGAAGAGAAAATACTAAGCCTCATAGCATATTTCACTATATTCTTGTTTATTTGTTAAGCGAATGGAAAGTTTATTTCTGTATTCGTTATGACGTTATCAAAATGATACATATGTAGAAACTAGACTGATTAAGATATAAAAGATTTGAAATGCTTCATTCAATCTATAACAGCTGGTAGAGAAACTAAAGTTTCGAAGCTATTAAATGGAATGATATAGTTTGTAGTGTCGTTTTTTTTTTAACGTTTGTATTGGTTATAAATGCTGAAGTGTTTCTTTCTCCATGAAATTTCCATTAAAGTTCGTCGACCCGATAAGGATAAATCTAAGAGAACCCCCTATTGTTACTTCACTGTACCAGACGATGATTCTACACATGTCAAACTCACGGTAAATGTTAATATTTATCTTTAATATTTATTTTGATTTTATCTGGGTAAAAATGAAGCTGTCGATGGTGAAATATTAAGGCTGAATCTTATGATCGATATTAATATGATATTTTAAACAAAGTCCATTAGGTTGCATTTTAAGAAATTAATAAAAAAATTTGCCGTCATTCGTTATTTACTGAAATTGTAGTTTATCAACAATATCAGGGTACTGTTGTGGAAGGAATGTACTGGAAGAGAAGTATGGATGCGTTGCAAGCTCAATATAAACGATGGCGGCATTTGAGGACACGAAGAAGAGGACGACGAAGGGTATTTATCTACACAGTTTTTTTCTCGTTGACATGCATTTTTGCATTTTCTGTTTTTGAATTTAAAATGAGCAAATAACTTCCAACATTGTACATTAATCATTAACAAATGAATGATTAAATGACACATTTAGGGAATCAAAAATTTGTTGAACATAGGAAATTGATGATCATGATGATTATTATGATGTGATAAAAAGAATGGAGAAAGACAATGAATGAAATATCGAAAATTAACAAAAATAAATTTAGGGTATCAGTTGGAATCAAGAGATCAGTTTCGTCCCACAATTAGCTGTGCAAAACTCGATGCCGCAAAACTTGTCTACTGAGCAGCCAGATACGGATGATTTAGATAATGAATTCACGGATACGCTTTTTGCCAATCTTATGCAACCCTATACATTTCCAAATCCAAAAGAAATAAGTGATTTTTGAAGTATTGTTAAATTTCGATTTATTCCTTTTTTTCCTGATGTCCTTCCACCCTTGTTTTCTTTAGATTTTCCACTGTTTACCAACATTTATTCCGGCTTAGTGTGCTGTCGATTGCTAAAGGTGCAAAAATGGGAGGAGGGGAGAGTTTTTAATTTTTTCTTAACTGAACTTTTAAATTTCGTCATGCTGAAATATGAAATGACTTTAAACATTTTCCATGATTTCCTTAGAAAAGTTTAGTCAGCACTCCTGCAGCTTGCACTTTAAAAAAAAGGTGAGTCAGTCGCGAGTTGATGAAAATGATTTCCTTTTTGTGAATAAAATTTTCTCATTTAAAACAAAAAAAGGATTCATCCATCTGATATCAAAATTTTTATTATTTAGCACAAGGATGTAATGCTGATGTGATGCAACCTGGATTGCTGTCATTACAACCAAGTATTGAAGAAATTATGGCATCACTTGGTGAGCCAAGTCTTTTCCCTTTTTTTGAACATAATTTGCAATGTAATCTTTTGCAGTCATCCACAAGAAAGATTGACAATACAATTATAGAAAATTGAATTATAAAGTTAAAAGTCAAAATGGTTTATGCTACAACATGTTGTATCAATGCAGTTACAGTACTGTCATTGTAATTTATATATTTTCTTGCAGCAAGTGATGAAATAGTGAGGAGAAAGGTTAGTAAATACAGTGATAAAATAGAGAAGAAAAAAGCTAGCCGGAAAGTAGCAGAATGATTAAACTGAATGAGTGAGGTTAGGAATATCATTTTTATAAATATCATAGGATAATTAGGTTATCGTCACCATGGAAGTGATTATGTAGCATTATTGGATTTTATTATATGAAGAAGTTTTATTTTGTTATAAAATTTTATTTGTAGTGAATTATCAAAAAATATGCAATATTTGAATCAAACGATAAGAAGCATTTTTGAGTAGACTGTACTTTGTTAATTTCAACAAACATTCCAAGATGATCATCAGAACGTAATCTCAGCGTTTTTCAGTTTTCAAAAATTTCCATTTTTACAAAATTTCTAAAGTTTTTTTGCAGATCCACCCGAACAATTGCTGGATGAAATTGGAAATTATAGCGCCTCAAATGTTTCAGCGACTTCACCTTGTGCACCGAAAGAATATGAGACAACTTTCAATAACTTTACAAATCCAACGCAGCAACCAACACGACAGTCATCCACTATATCGCCGCAAATTCTTCTTGCTAATTCTTCTGCACCAACATATTCGCAGGTACTGTCCTACCAGATAAGAATCGACGAGCGTTAATAAAAGTAGACGTC